GTTCAAAAAAGAAACATACATTTTCTAGCACATAAATGTGTTTAAAAAGGTATATAATTTATAATGGCAATGTTGACAGAGCTTTAACTACAACATTACAAATGCTAAACTATAATATATTTACATATGAGCAGTACTTACTGTGTGGGTGCATCTCTGATGTGTTTCCATGTGATACTCCATAATTTCAGCAAGTGATTGTGGTAAGGGATATTAAACCATAGTATTGATAATACTTTTACTGCTCTACTTTGGGAAATGCATTACTGCTAAATTAGTCCCTGAAAATTTAGAGATATTAACACTGTCGAGCATGAAGGCAGATGGGATTCGGATCAGAGACCTTTATTTGTAGTGTGATACTGAGGAGTCATTACTTTAAAGCAGGAACTTTGTTTCCTTGAATTTTAAGTGGAGTTGGGGATTTTACTTCCGCTTTGGCATGAACTAGCTTATCATAAAAGCGTAAATGGAACTTGCCTGGTATTGTGTGTGTGTGTGGTTTTTTTTTTTTTTTCTTTTCCTTATGATCTGAAAAGATGCTTAATGAAACTCTGGGTACCTAGACAGAGACCTTCACTGAATGCAAAGCAAGCTTAATTATAGTTTCCTTAACAAGCTTCTGGAGATGATTTCCCCCTGACTACCCCCTAGTCCTTTCACCTATTTAGACTCTTTCTCTTTCTGTTGAGTACCACCAGGGTACATTAACTTTTTTTCCTCTTCCCCCTGATGGGCAAACTGCAGCTTAAAGAAAGGAAAAACTTCTTGCCAGTTTTTACATGGCAAGAATTCAGTCTTGATTTTTGAGGTCTCTAAGAGATTCTAGACTTAAAATAGAGCAATTGTCACTCTTCCCATGGCACAGGAGAGACGGGCACAGAGGTGTTTTCTGATGCTGCACAATAGTGTTTTAGCAAGACTAGCACTAGAACTGAGGTTTTTCTAACTCTTATCCTAGGGGCTGTTATCTGCCAGATCCTGTGCCTGCTCTGGCATAGTCGGAGGACTCTGTGGTGAGCATGAAAAGTAGATTGGGATTATTCCCTTCCTTGCGGAGAAGGAGTTGTGGAGAGGCAAGCAACAGCATGTTCCCTGGCCGTGGTGACGTGCTGTGCGTTTCTGGTAGGCCCTGCTTGTGCAGTTCCATTGACTCCTCTTAATGCTTAATTGGGTTCTTTGCATTCTCTTCTTGGTAATTTTTTTGCATTACCCGTAGCTATATGACATACTCTTCCCATGCGCCATGCGTGCGTGAGCATCAAGCACCTGTTAGATCTGAGCAGTTAAAAGGCTGTTGATCACCTCTCCCCTAAGTGCTGAAGCTGCATCTCTGCTGTCTGGCCCAGGTGGTTTCTAACAGGCTGTCCTGCAGGGACCCCTGTAACTGATGGCAACCTGACTGATGCGCTTCAGTCCAAAGTCACTGTGATCTGAACTGCCAACGCCTCTCCTGCCGGGGACACTCCTGTCACCAGAGATGTGATCCATCCCCTTTGTAATTTGCTTGGAGTTGATATGTATAAAGCATGATATTATGTTAATTGCACGTAATGCCTTCAAGCCCCTCTTTCTGCTGCTGTGCAAGAAACACTTTCTGCAGAAAATGTCAGACAGCCGCTACCTGGTATGATTTCATTTCTTTTTCTGTGCCACAAGTATCACAAAGGGAGAAAGCCGGAGTATTTAGCGCGCACAGTGGGAGCCAGATAGTGCCAGGGGAGGTCCTGCATGAGGCGTAAGCCCCAGAAAACCTCTTGCTCTTTAAAAAAAAATCTTTCCCTTAGAGTCAATCTTGCTTTTGTTCATGCTCCAAAGAGTGGTAATTTGGGAAGTTTTTCTGAGAATTTGAGTAGGAAGAAAGCAGCTTTGCGTCAGGTGCAGGGTAATTATTTGCTGGGGTTCTGTGCTGTTTGGTTTTTATTCCCTGTGTTTTCATTAAAAGCTAATGAGTTTTTTCTTCATTGAGAACAATAGCTTGGCCCCTGACAAGTTGTTGGTTATTTTTTCTGCTTGGACTCAACTAGCTGTTGCTGCTCCATAAACTTTATGGAGAAGTGGATTAAAGCACAAGAAGTTTTTTCTCGTAAAGCAAATTGAAATGGAAAGGAAATAGGATTTGTTTCAAGTAGCTACGTTGCAGAGTTTGATCTTTTTTGTTTTTGAATCTCAAGGCAATGTTTGAAAACACTTCTAATCCTAAAGCAAACCAAATGCTTTTGTGTTGATTTGTATTGCAGTAGGGTGCATAATTCAGATCCCCGTTGTGCTTGGCATGATACACGTATGTACGTATTGGCACCTGTGCATATTTGAGTGGGTTATTGTGGTGTATGTCCGTTTGCATGCATATGTGAAAATCCAATTCCCATTCCCATGTGGGGAATGTGAACCAGTAGCAAGGAAGAGCATATTTGTGCTGACAAACCCCTTTTATATAACATCTCATGATATAACGCTGCCTGGGAAATATGCTGCCAAAACAGACCTGTGGCTTGATTCTTCCACGTGCTTTATGGGAGGAAGAGCTACTCCTGCTGTTAAAGCCAATGACTTATTCTTGCAAGCAGCTTTCGTGATCGGGCCCTTGCTCTTGTTCCAAATGGCTTACTGCACGCGCGCACGGATGTGCCATCCGTTCCTCTCCAGCGAGGTGCCTGCACTGTGCTGTGCTGCCTCCTGCTATTCGGAAGCCATAAACAGTTTGCTCGTTATCACAATAATGCTGCACCTGTACCTCGTTACAAGGGAACACCTGTTACCTTGATGTTTGTTTGAAAAGCCTGTTTTTCTTAATACTGTGCAGTGTGGTTGAAAGAAAATGTTCTTTTAACAGATCAAGGCTGAATGGGCTCACAGAAACTGTCTTAAAATGCTGGCATCTTCACATCACTGCAGATAGTCAGGCCTGCAACACTGCAGCACGGCACTTAGGAAGGCTCCTCGTTAGGATGAACGCTGCATTTTGCCTATGACGGGGAGCTGTTGCTGTTCGGTAGCGGCTTTTTATATAGGCTTTTGGAGCCTTTTTATTCAAGGATCTCTAAGTGCTACGGTAAAGCAGGGAAGAAACAGTTCCCTGTTTCACACAACTGAACAAAGCACAGAAACAACGTAGCCAAGGTCAGTCCGTCAGAGGTTTGCTCCTGGATGCGCTTGGCTTGCCAGACTCTGTCCAGTGGAGCAGGGGGTTTCAGTCTCTGCCTTTTAATTCCTAATTGTTTTTTCTGAGGGAGGTGTGCATATGAATTCCAGTTTGTTGTGAAAGCAGACAGAAACTTGCTTTATTGTTCATTCTTCATGACTTAGAATAGTCCATGGGTAGAAGCCTGCTGCAGTGTCCCCTCTGCTCACTGTCTGATGGTGCAGGAGGGATCAAGGCCTGCCTGTTTGTGCCCAGGGACCTACAGTTTCCTTGGCAGGAGAGATACACAGATACTGAATGATGCAGCTCCTAAAAGGAGGAAAATTATTTTCTGAATTTCATTCTCCTGAATCAAATGTCTTATACGCTTGCATGCTGGGGTGGCTTGCTGGAAGCAAGTGAGCATGGAGTTAGCAAAAGCCTTGATTATGGTGTGCTGCTACTTGGCCTTTCCTTCTGTTAGGAAAATTGTAAAAGCTTAAAGGACAGACTGCCAGGAGTTGCTCTGTTCTACCACTGACCCCCACAGGCCTTTGGTAAATCTCACAAAGCCAAACTTTCGATTTAGTTTTTCAAGACTTTTCAGTTTATAATAATCAGCCAGATTATCATAGTGTCTGGCATCCAGTATGACTTCTTTGGGGGTCTGATCCGTGGGAGGACAGATTGGTGTGCACTAAACTTCTCATGGCCTGGTCGTTGCTTTTGGTGAAGAATTGGCGTTTTCTTGAAAATCTGGCCCTGAATGCAGGAGCTGGGATCTCTGAGAACTTTGTGTGCAGAGAAATTGAGACAAAGTTGCAACCTGGGATGTTGAAAATAAAACCTCCAAAATATTACATCATGTCTGTCTTCAGCTGGAAACTTTTTGGGGCTTCTGTTGTGTTTCTTGGTGATGGTGGGGAAATGAGTACTGCAACCCTCTGTTCCAGGGCCTTGGTACCCTTTCATCAGCTGTGGGATGTAGTCCCTTTGTTTGCTGAGATAAAACTTGTTTGGAACTTAGTGTCTGAGCACAATTAAAATCAGCTGAAAACCCACCTTTCTTGCTGTTTGTTGTGTGTTGAATGAATAAGCAGCTGTCTTTGCCCCTCTTATCAGCAGTCTGGGGCTGTGTGTATTCAGGAAACATAAGGCAAAAGCTTGAAAGACCAGTCCATGTTTGGGCTGAGTAGTATTTTCTTCTGCAGGTGGACTAGTTGCACCTCATTTATACTGAAGCTTGGTATCAGCGTTTGTCACTAGTATCTAACTGCATTCTGCATAAAATCCAGTATCAGCAGCAAATTTCCTAGCAAAATGTCTATTAATAAAAAAAATGCAATACAACATCTAGCATGGGGAGGTAATAGCTCCTGCCTGCATACACAGATATTTTGCTTCTGTTAATTTGTACATGACTGTCTGCCATGACAGAGAATCATTCCCTCCTTAGCTGAGCATCTCAAAGCTTTTTTCTTACAATATAGGAAGATTCTTCATCTTAGTGAAACAGATAGTATAATCCTCCATTTTGTAGATGGATGCTTTACCAAGAGGTCACACACTGAGAGCAAGGAATTGAACATAGCTCTGGTATTTTGGCTCCAAGACTGATATTTGCAACCTCCTGCTTGTATGCTATCCAAGTGCAAAGTCTGTACCTATGCAGCATGAGTGTTTTTGAAGCAGAAATAGGTCTCTATGGTCCTAAACGGTGAATCTGGCCTTACGCCCACAAAAGGGGTTTTGGATTTTGCAGAGTACTTCAGTGGAAGGTTGGAACCAGCAGGAAATATATTTCAGTGTAGGCAGTAAGATTTGAGTTTGGGAATACTTACTCTTCAGTTAAATCAGGCTCTCCATTTCTTTCTAGAAGAGGATCTGCATGATGCTTGCTTTGGACGAGACAGCTCTGATGAAAATCAGAGCTGGAGTTTGGTCCCTTCCATGACATCTGACGTTTCACTTCCATCAGACTTCCAGGAAGATGGTAAGTCACTGATGTTTTCTGAAGTCCTTGAGTGAAGCGAATGGAAGAGTAAGTGGAATGGAGTTCTACTTCCTTGTTGTCTTTCATTCACCTCATAATGTTAGAGGTGGCCTTTGCTTTTTGTTGACTGGTACCTCTTTTATCAACCACTATAAAATCTCATGGTGATCCTGAATTTAATATTATATTGCTGAAATTAAAAGTATTTCTTGATCCTCTCAGTGCAAACTGGAGCTGGTTGGAGTTGGTGGTTGTATTTTGGATTGATGGCAGTGCTGGAAAAGAGCAGAATCTGACCTCATGTCTGACATTTTCCAAAGTTGCCCAGTGACTTCTGGGTGTGTTTCTTTGTGAGTGCTCAGCCTCATACTTTAAAGGGGCTGTGTCTTTTCAAACCTAAGTTTGAAACCTTCTAGTGCTTGGGAATTTGGGACTTCCTCTTCTGGAGAGTACAGGAGTGTTCCCACCTGAGTGCTGGGTGTGAGCTGGATGTAAGCTGTCAGGTGGAGGCCAAGAGCATGTTCCAGAGCATTAAATAGCAGCCTGGGTTTTTCTGCTCAAAAAGCTGCTATGATACTTCTGCTTGTGAGTGGTGGTTTAGCAGTGATGGATATGTGATATGCTATTGAAGTCTACAGAGATGAGATTGTTCTGTTCATCTCAGGGGTTATCTTTGCTCCCTTGTGAAGGCTTGACTGCTTTGGTCTCAGACTCTCAGTCTCCGCCTTCCCACAGGCCTTGTTTCCTCCTCCTCTTTCACTTCCCTTGCACTTTTCCATGCTTTCTTACTTTTCCCCTCCTTGTCCTTCCTGTTGTATTTTCTCTGTTTCAGTCCCTCCTTCTCCACCTTTCGCTGCTCAATGTACTTTTATGTATACTCCCACTCTTGTTAGTGAGTTGGTAGTCATCAGTCAAAAACATAGAGAAGTTGAGGATTTACTTGGGATGAAGCTGTAAGAGCTGATGGGCACCGAGGTTAGCTTCCTCATGCAGTGCAGAGCGCTAGGCATATCAGCCATATGTATTGATTCATGCTATAAAATAAATAGCTTCATTTAGACTGATTAGAGGCAAGGTTGGTCTGATAGTTAGCAAGTAATTGCAGCAAGCAAAGAGGTGTGGAGTTTAGGATTGCTTGTTTTAAGGAATCTGTGCATTCAGATATGATGCACTTATGCATAGTGTGGATGGAGAATGTGTGACAAGGATAATGGATGTTGGACTAAATGGGACATGAAAGGGTGCTGAAGACCTCAAGCTTGGCCTCGTCAGACGAGCAATGTCTTTATGAAGTCTAGGGTTTCTCCTGGCATGTTTACTAATCTTGTCTAAGGAGGTATTTGCTTTGCTAACTTTGAGTGGTGGTTTTTGGCAGCCCTAAGGGGCAGAGTTTGACATAACACTTGCAAGGTATGCAAACACTTGGCACCACTAGATGTTTTCAGACACAGATGAAATGCCAGGCTCGATGGAAGGATGCCCAAATGAAAGAATGGCAAGGAGATTGATAACATAGAAAAACTAATAGTTACAAAAAGGAGGGAAAAAAAGCTGGCATTGAGACGAGTTACATTAAAATGAGTTGTTAGTTCTTGGAAATTCTAATTGGTAAGAATACTGATTAATAGTGTATCATAGGGTTGAGCAGTTTTTGCTGATTAGATTCAGACTGGTAGTCTGAACTGGTAATATTGAGCGGGGGGAAGGTTGAACGCAGGATTTTGGTGGAACCTTTTCTTTGCCCCACATTCATCTGTAGAGGCACCATCAGAATGAATTTTTCTGTCTGCCACCAGAATGGGTATGGATCATGGTTGTGATTTTATTTGGGGTTTTGAATTTTTGTGATGACTTGCTATCAGTTTTTTTTGATTTGGGGAGGTTGTTTTTTGGGGTTTTTTTTGTTTGCTTTTGTGTGTGTGGTGGTTGTGGTTTTTTTAAAGCCCATTATTTTAGATGACAGCAAAGTTATGAAGGCTGTTCATATCCTCTACCTTTTCCTGGACCTGAGTGGTAGCAGCCACATCATGTTCTCAAACATGCTTTTGGATACATCCCTAAGAGTCATGCATGCTAGGACTTAAAAAGAGACATTGAGAGCCCTTGTTCCTTCAGCTACCTGGTGTCTTCTCTTCATTCACACTAACTGTAAGGGGAATGGGGTCATGAATGTCACCTTAAGCATAGTCTCTAAGAAGTTGCTGCACTCCTTAACTGTTATGTTGCCATGTCTTGCCAAGAAGCATCATTTTCCAGAAAGGCTAACCTATCAGTTTCTCTTCTGAAAGTGGCAAACTTGCTAGACCTCTGAGACTGACAGCTGCCTTGCAGAGAGACTCTGATGTTTTCCTGAAAGCTGGGCTCTAGCAGGACCGAGTGACTTTGTGTGAAGCCAGCATACTTAAAATCCCTCCATGTTTTGATGCAAACCCCTGGTGTGACTTAGGCAAGCCAGTACAGGCAATATTTTCTTCAACGGGCTGTCGGTCAGACTTGCAGTTTGTCTAGTGGGGAACCTGAAAGAAGATCCCATGATCTTACCTAAGAGTATGAAGTCAGTCAAATGAGAGTTTCAAATGTTACTTATGAGAAGTGGATACAGCTGAAGTGTGTATCAAGCAGCCTTGGTTTCTGGATTAAAATGTTATTGGGGGAAGATTAGAAAGTTTTTAGCTTGCACGCACTGAATTTTAGCTCTTCAGTTTGCCTTGGCTCCTTGAGTGAGCGCACCTTCACCTTTCTTGTGCCTCCTTTTGCTTCTGCATATTGTTTCTTGTCCTTTAGCCAGCAAGTTCTTGGTAACAGGCACTCTGTTACTGCATGTTAGTGCAGTGCCCAAACTATGACGGATCCTGGGGGTGCTGCTGTAATGCAGACAAGTAATAGAGCTGCTACTTTTCAGACAGCACAGGTGGCTTGTGTGTGGGGATAATCCATCCAACTGTGGCCAGAAGAATAAATTGGCCAGTTTTAGGAACATACTCATCATTCCTGTGGCTTTTTCGATCTTAGCCCTGTTTTGCAACAACAAGAGGTTGTGTCCTTAGGCATAAGCCCAAAGCAAACTGTTAAAGGCTCTTATCTCATGCATCCTGAATTTCTCAAGTTTATTAATTCAAGGCTTTAATGGAAGCAGATTTCTCTGGCTGAGATGATGCTTGCTTCTGCCTCTCCTTGCTATGAAGAGGAGAAACGGGGGAGTTTGGAAGCAGGGAAACACCACGACTGTTCATTTTCATTTTGAACTGTCTTTTCCTTGCTTGATTTTGAACTTCCTATGGGAATTTGAGGGAACCTTTAAACTTGTCCCTGGTGGAGGGAGCAAGAGGGACTATGTGAGTTGGGGATGACTTTACTCAATGAGCCATAGCCCTGTTCTATAGGATCGTCCCTAATGAGTGATTAAGAAGCTAATGTTTGTACAGTGCTGGGAGGCTGTGAAGCGCTGTGAAAGTGCTAAGTACTGTTATAATGATAAGTGCTTCTGATGAGACACTTCCCATGTAATGTATTCTACTCCGACCACTTGAGGACTTTTACAAATGTTTTGCGTGTTAAACTGGTAGATTGTTTAATTTTCCAATGTCCACTGATGGAATTTTACTGAAGTGTAAGGTAGGTACCATAGCTTCCTGAGGGTACGGTAGGATTTGCACCTTTCACGATTGAGCTCTTCTGCTGGGAGGCAGTTCGGTTTTCCTGTGGTGCCTTACAAGAGCTTCTGTTGTTGCAAAGCATCTAATCTCGCTGGTGGGAAGCAGAGGCATGAGCAGTGATTCACTCGTGTCGCAGTGCGGTCACGCAGAGCTGGGGAGGTGAGGGCCCCTGGGGGCCTGTCCCCGTGCCTGGCTGTCACCTGCACTGCCAGTGTTGCAGCAAAATGAGCACCAGTATGCTTTCTTTTATGTAATACAGGTGTATATTAGCACTTGAAGGGCAGTATAACTCAGTGTGACAGAAATGTACCTTACGGATTCTGTTAGGCATATTCTCTGGAGTAAGAAATCTTGCTTCTGACTTCCAAGATTTTTCCATCATGTCAGCGGAGCAGTTTGGGCAAACATACTTACAGCTTGTTTAGTTTTGTGGGTTTGCATGTGTGTATTTTTTTTTTTAAATATGTAAGTTCTGAGTGCCTGAAGAGGAAAAACAAATCCTTCAGCAAAAAATTTCCCTTGCTTTTTAAAAATCTACTAAAGATGGCTTCTATCTCAAAAGGTGGAGGGTGGTAGATGAAATGGTACTTCACTGCGCCCCAGCGGCTCTGGGGGGTGAGTGGGCAGATAAAAATGAAACATGATACCTAAAGGTAGGGGAAGTAGGTTTAGAAACTGTGAAGGGATGGCTTTTCTTTAAGGTGTCTGCAGGCATTTTTTTAACCCATCTGCATCCCAGAAAGGTGCTACTTCCTTGTATTTGGCCTTCTATTACATGTAACTGAGTAGGGAAAAGGTAAAATATAGAAGTTGGTTTTGTATGAATCATCCTCAGAAAAGATTCTAGAGAGCTAGCCTGGAAATCCGGGGGGATTCTCTGGAGTTTTTTGCAGCTTCTTGCCTTGTTCATCGTGGGCCTCCAGCTAGCCTGTGTGTGACTGAGTGTTTTTTTTTCCCTTTTAGGGTGTAGTGTTTTCTCTTTTGATCGTGTTTTAGGGCATGAATTCCCCTCTTTGGAGTGTGCAGTGTTCTGAGTGATAATGTGCTTCCCCGCTTTTAGGCAGTCCTTGCATATACCACTGCATCCTCTGGTTCCCCCCCCAGTGCTTCCTACATTCTTACCTCTTCTAAACTTTTAGTACTCAGTTCCTAAACATGGACTTCATTGAAAACATTTTTGTAGGCTGGACTCTTAAGCTGGGTACCTGGGTGGGTGTGCGGTGTTGCTTTGGTGCAGGTGGGCACCCAGTGTGCAATCTTGGGCCCCGGGTGGGTGTGCAGGGTGTGCTGTACAGGGGGCAGGGGACATGCCCTGGGCATGCAAGTAGGTGTGCAGGGCTGGGT